CTTGATTGTTCGGCTTCCCAGCAAACAACTTGCGTATTCTTGTAGTAACCGACATTTTGTTTTGGGTTTTTCCTGATGATCTTTCTTTAAAGATGTATCTTCTGTTGCTCTGGCTGTTCCACACTGGTCTGCTTGTCCTTTCTAGGAATGTCCCACTTCAGAAGGTTCTGGATGAGACTCAGGATTCCACCTAAGGTCCTAGACTCTGCAAAGGCTCCGCAAGAGGCCTGTTTCACTGGGCAAGTTGTAGAACCCCTTTTTTTCCAGTCAGTCATAGGCTGAACACAGGCTTACAAGCTTTCTGTAATCATGTTTCCTGACGTTCCTTTCTATCCTACTCTCGTGTCTATTTTATAATAGTAGGCAAGGGAAACCAGTATTCCTAAGACAGTCATGCATCTTAGTATTATTCCCCCTCTTCAGGGTATTTCCTGTGAATATCTTTTAATGAAAGTGCAAATGAAGTATAAAATGATTTAGAAAGGGCAAGGTAGCGGGGCAGGCGCTAGGGTTCCAGTTAACTGGAAATTCAATAAACAAATAATAGTGCGTACGCCTGGATGCTCTTCAGTGGTGAGCAGCTGACAGTGATTGGCACTGCTTTCTGTTTTTATCCTCTATGATGGCACACTAGCGGGAAGGGCATAAGCGTTTGGTAAGGTGTGAACAGCAGTGCCTCCATAAACTCTTGCTTCTGTCTCTCTGAAGGTGCCCTTACAGAATGCTATGATGAACTGGGAAACAGATACCAGCTTCCAGTCTATTGCTTGGCACCTCCAATCAACATGATAGAAGAGAAGAGCGACGTAGAAACTCTGGATATTCCGGAGCCACCGCCCAACTCTGGTTATGAATGCCAGCTCCGTTTGCGCCTTTCCACAGGAAAAGACCTCAAGCTAGTGGTCCGCAGCACAGACACAGTGTTCCACATGAAGAGACGGTTGCATGCAGCCGAAGGGGTGGAGCCCAGTAGTCAACGCTGGTTCTTTTCTGGCAGACCTCTCACTGACAAAATGAAGCTGGAGGAACTGAAGATCCCGAAGGACTATGTTGTTCAGGTTATAGTGAGCCAACCTTTGCAGAACCCAACACCAGTTGAGAACTGAAACTGGTCCTGTTGGCTGGTCCTCTGACCCTTCCCGCTCCTTTTTATAATGGTTAAGGTTGTTGTTTCCTACTCTATGGCGTGAAATTTATTTTCACTGCTCTGAATTCCCTATGAATGGCTTTAGTTCTGCGGAATGACCAGTGAAAATTTCCATCTGTGATGGAGACCAACAAAAATAATTAATAAAACAGAAAGAGGCAGGCTTTGAGATTCATGTAATGACAGTTTTTATTTGAGAGGCAGTTAAGAAGTAAGATAGCCATTTATTTTAAAATACCCCACTCTATCTGATGGCTGTATTTAAATAATTTGGACTGTAAATAGAACATTACATCCCTGAAGAACAGCACCTAGCGCCTTTCGATTATAAAATATTTCTTTTAACTAAAATCAAATCATACAGTTTCCAGAAATCATCCATAATAGTTACAAATTTCAGCTTTTTTTTTTTTTTTAATGGAAACTGAAAGAGCAGTGTTTGAGATTTGCTTTGATTCTGTCTTTATTATATTTAGTCATAGAGGAGTAGAGTCTGGCAAATTGTGTTTCAGCACTGCTTTTCCTATCCCCATATGTCGAGCTCCTTATTTACGTTCACACTAAACGCTGGTGCCTTCCATCCTGTGGAGGGCGGCCACCTTCTGGAACGTGAGGCAATAATTCAGTGCAGCCAGAGCTCTGATTTTCAGCTGATCCTCAGCTGTAAAGTCTCTTGTCCTTTTGCTGCATGAGTGTTTTTGAAATGTCTACATAGCAAAGCTGTTTCATATCCAGGCTTAGGAGGACACTACTTCATAATACCTTCATTGATCTACCTACTCTGCTCAGAACTTTTCATAGCTAACTATGCTACCACATGCATAGTTTTTGGGCCAGGAAACACAATGAACCAAATACAGCAGTTTCCACTACAGAGTCATAATAACATAAGTTCTCTTCTCCCTGAATTTGCAGGAAGAGTATAAGGAAAACCCATCCTATCTATGCCTGAGAGAAGTGTACCTATTTGCAGTCTTTTAGAGAAAAGTGAACCTCACAATTTCCAAGTGTAAGAGGTTTATTTACTGAGGTCACTTAAACATCATCCATGAGACCAAATGATGAAACATTGCTTTACACGTTAGTGCTTTTCAGCTCGCTGTTACCTCTAGTCATGGGTGACAGTTTTCCTCCCTCATCTTTCCTGGCAATGAGGTAAATTTAGAACCATCTACAAATTGGATTTGAAGACTCTGTGAGGTAACCTGATTCTTCTGTGCTGACAGGAGTAAAGCTGCTAGAATTATGTTTCATTTGGAGTGTTGTTTTTTTGTTTTTTATTAAAGTTGGTTCCATACAGGACAAGGGGCTAATATGGTCATTTAAACCCCTTAGAATCCGTGAGATGGAAGAGTAGAAACAAGAAGGTACTTTCCTGTTCTGAGTTGGACAGTGTCAAACTTCCATTCCTGTTTGGATGGGAAGTTCCATTATTTTGAATGGCAAAATGAAACTGTTAACTAGTTTAAATGTAATGTTTAAAATGGTATCAGATTTCCTGTAGCCGGATTAGATATATCTATAATTGTAATTCATCATGTTTCTAAGAGCTTTAACTACTTCCCCTTTTTATGCAATCATTTCTAAGATTGTGACGATCTCTGACTTAGGTTTGTTGATGGTTGAATCTGAATTCAAGAGAAGACAGCTGCATTCATTCCAAAGGTGATTTTTTGTACTGGGGACGACAAAGTGTAACGGTGTCTCAGAATCATGCCTCTGTCACCTAAGGCTGCTCCTTATTCATTTGTGTGTCATATTGAATAGCAGCATCTCAACGTTTATCAACTGGAAAAAGAAAAGTGTTCAAACCTATTTTTCTTAAGTAAATTTGGTGATATCATCAATAATCTATGGTTGGTAAACAGTCCTTTTTCTTTGTTGAGGATTTGAGCTGTCTTAAGAGTTTATTTTATTTTATTTTAAAGGAACATAGACTTTGAATAATAAATTCTCCAGGCATGTTTAACTAACCTAAGTGAGAAAACCATGGTGCTGTTTATTGTAAATAGATTGATATAAGATTGGACCAATACTTGATGTGTATAATTTTAGTATGTAGGGTTTTTGTGCTTTTTTAAAAAAAAAAAAAAATTCAATTTTTCTCTTTGTCTTTGCTTTCTTCTGGGTTTTCATAATTATTGTTGCTTTCTATATAAGAATAATCTGCCTCTTTCAATGAGAAGTGTGAAGATTTTCTTCCTTTTTAATGTCTTAGCTTAATAAATACCGAGTTAATTTCACCAAACTTAGGCTCTGCTACACCAAGTCACACCTGGTCAGTTAGAGGCTTCATCTTTATGTTATTAACGCGTGGTCTGAAACACATTGTCATTTTCTCTCCAGAATTGCACTGTAACCAAATTCATGATTCTGTTTCAGAAGCACTGGTACTGTTTTTTGTCTGCTTTGCATCTAAGTGGCAGATTTTCTTTCGTTAACATTTCTAAATTTTATTTGAAATAGGTAATACATGTAACATGGTTAAAATCTTAACAGACCAAAATGAGAAGAGCCTTCCTCACACCATCTCTTCTCTTCCTCTTCCCCAGAGGTAATAGTGGTTTCTAGTTTTTTGTGTATCTTAAAACTATTCTAGTACAATGGTTGTCACACTTGAGAGTGTGCTTCAGAGTGGTGTACCTGCATGACAGGGTTTCTAGACAACGTGAGTGTTACCAGGATATGTCAGAATATACTTTTACTAGGATTCCAGTTCATACAGCACAGGTTTATTCTAAACAAAATGTGTCTAATGGCTACAGACAAGTTCTCTCAGTAATACACGTAGTCATCATCTTGTTGGTTCCGACTCATAGCAACCCTGTACAAGTTTTCTGAGGAGCAGCTGGTGGGTTTGAACCACCAACTGTGTGGCTCACAGCCCAGGGCTGATACTACAGTGCCACAGCAAGACCAGTGAATGGTGGTAGTTGTTGTGAAGTGCCACTGAGTTGATTACAATTCATAATGTCCCTGTATAGGGTTTCCGATGAGCAGCTGGTGGGTTTGAACTGCTGGCCTTGCAGTTCAAACCAATATAGTAGTCCAGTGCTTATCCTACAGCGCCATCCCAGGACTGCAGTGAATGGTTAGAGAGATGGAAGCACTGCTCTTAAAGTGTATAGACTAGATGGAGAAACAGTGACTTCATATCTCTAACCCAAACTTGTCCCTCAGAAATTTAGGGTAGAAGGAGGTGTGGTAATCAACATGATGCAAAAGCATCTCTGCACCACTGAAACACCAACAGAAAACATGCAGACTCTGTGCAAGTGGGGTTACTCGGCTCCCTGGCAGTCAGCACAGGCGTGCCATGAACTTTGCATCTGAGTCCTGCCTCTGACACTAGCGAGCCATGCTTTTGGGGTAATATTCATTCATAATCTCACTCTGCCTCAGTTTTCCCCTCAGTAACTTTAGTACCAGAATACCTCATTCAGAGTTTCAAAGGTAAATGAAGTCGTGTTTCTAAAAGTACCTACCGGAGCAAACTCGTAGTAAATGGCAGTTACATCGTTAACATGAGAGAGTCAGAGGCATCGCAAGCCTTGTGCCAAAAGACGTTAAAGGTCCTCAAGGCATTAATTACACTAAAGGGCATCCTGGTAGATTTGGGTAGGGTTCCTAAGCATCTAACTCATTAGAGAGTAATTCAGATTCTGAGATGAATGCAGCCCCCACATCCTTACTCTGTTTCCTGGAGGCACTTAACCATTAGCCAACCTGACAGTGGCTTTCATCCTGGTTGTCTCCGCCCAAGACTGGCAGGATGAAGAGGATTCCGAGAGTATTGGATCATGAGTGACAACTAGCAAGAAAGTTCTACCTTCTGTCAACTGCTTAGCTCTAGTTATTGATGGTAATTATTTGGGTACACAGGAGCCGAGTGAACAGAGATGATCTGAAAACAGCAAAAGAATCAGGACGTATTGGCAGAAAAAGTCAGCCTGACCGAGGTCAATTGGTTCGTAAAATTAAGAATCCACGGATTTAACAGCACTCATGTAGACCCTTTATAAGTAAAAGTCGATGTAAAGACCATGTAGTGTTTTAAATTTTATTTTGTACTTTCAGATTCCATTAGAAAGAATACTCTTTCTTGCAGGTACATCATTTTCTTGTGACACTTTCTTTTTGAACAGAGACTTTTCCGCTTTCTCTTTCTTGACTCTCTGTCTCTCCTGGTATTTGTCGACAGAGAAGATAGTAAACAGCTTAAATTCTTTATAATTGAGACGCTTTGGTTGAAAAAGAAAAAAGAAAAATTATTTCAAGAAGGATTTGATACCTCGCTTCAGATAACAGCTGGATTGGAGTCATTTCCCATTTGAAACACTTGGAAATTTAAAGAGGCTTAGTAGCTAAATCACAATTGTAGTCATAATTGTAGCCTGACACCCAGAATACAGAAAAGTATTGTCAGCGCTAAAGGAGCCAAGGGGCACTTTGTTCTTCTATGCCAAGTACAGACACTTGAGGCTGACAGCTAAGGTTCTTCTCAGTGGGATTGTCCCACCTTTTCAACCTTAGCTCCCACTTGCTTTCCCAAGATGAACTTCCTCTTTAAATTGATAGAATTCGCTGACTTCAGCATAGCTGTGTTCTCAAGTATTTGCTCCTGTCCCCATCATAATTCTTGTCACTTCTACTTATTTCATATTTAACACCCAAACACCAACTACTGCCTTGTTAACTGCATTTCCTTCTCTAAACTTCTACATTTATTTATCCATATATTTATATAGAAAATGTAGCACTGTATGTTCAATCTTACCTTTATGGGCATTTAAGTCTCTTACTTTCTTCTGATCTTACTGTGTGCTGTCAAGCCAATTCAGACTCACAGCGACTCTTTAGGACAGAGTAGAACTGCCCCAGAGTGTTTCCAAGGTGTTCTCTTTTCCGTTAACCGCTGAGTGCTAACTCTTGTGCCACCCGGGCTCCTGATCGTAGCACTGTGCCATGTGCTTGTCTGAGCAGGTTTTCCCATCCTCTTCCTCCCCTTTCCCTCTCCACTGTAGTCAGTAGGGTGCCGCTCCCTGCACTGGGGCTGAGAAGCTGCCACACCCCATTCCTGAGGCCTGCACTTACACAGTCACCTGTGACATCAAAGTCACGGTAGAGCTCTTTGAGTTCCTGCTTTTTAATATTGAAGAGAAAGCTATACAACTGGAAGTTGTCTTGGCCAATTCTCAGGTCTCCATCCTGGTCAAGCAGTTCAAAGACAGGCCGGGCATGGCGATAAATAAATTGCTTTTCCAAATGGTTCTGTTTTGAGAGAGATACATAAGACAAGGAAGAGTGTTATTGGTGCTACTTTGTAAACTCATAATAACCAGACTGATATTCACTACTCTATGCCCTAGAAAGCTAAGAAGCAAAGTCAGAAGTTTAGGGTTGACAGGATTCTGTCATCATATCCAGTCCTGCTTTAGCATCTGCATTCAAGGGGAACTTAACCACCCCACTGGATCCAACTCTAGATACTGCAGTGCATTTTCTTATATGCAGTAGAAATCCCCTAGTGAAATACCATGGCACTAGTGATCACATGGCGACCACACAGGGTCCCAGCCTTCAGGGAATGGGGAGTAGGTAAGTGGAGCCTCCACTAGAAGAGTGTTTAAAGTCAGATGGAAACGCAGACTGAATGTGTCATCACCGTCCTTCAACTGTATCAGAACTCGACAAGAAAAGGGATCATTGAGGGAGTGGGGCACTTGGGTTACTCTTACAGTGCTATCAGATAACCCAAGGAGGAGGGTCACGCTGGCTGAGAGCTGATTTTAGAGGGAAGTTGTGGAGGGCTGGAGAAAGCAGAGGGCACCCGCAGAGGTTGAATAGATAATGTGGAAAATGTCTAAATTATGGATGAACTATTTGGGAACCAGAGTAATATTCTCCAATCTTTTCTTCCTCTTGTTTTTGGTGAGGAAGAAGAGACCTTGTGAGCTACCTTTAGCAAAATGGTGGTGGCTGGCCAGCTCTTTCTCTGCCCCAGATGTCACTTGTTACTTGCCTGATGTGACAGCAGTAGACAAACCAACATGTAGAATTGGTCAAAACCAATCTCGCCCACAGCATTCCAGTCCAGCATGTCAAATATAATCATGATCTGTGGCTTGGTCAGGTTTGTCACATGTTGCAGGAAGTGAAAGAACAGCACATCTGTTAAAAGTGGGGAGGTGTGAAGATGGATTATTCAAAGATGCTAAACCTTTGCTGGTGACTCAATTCTGCCTTATAGCAAAGCCTGTATGGCAGAGTAGAACAGCCCCATAGGGTTTTGTAGGCTGTAATCTTCACTGGAGCAGATTACCAGCAATCCCGTGGAGCTGTTGGTGCATTCTAACCACCAATCTATACGTTAGCAACCGAATGAATGCTTAATAACTGCATCACCTGGACTCAGGAGCTACAGAAAGTGGTAATTTTGACATCTCGTTGATTAGGGAAGACTTGTTTCTGGCCTTGACAGTGTCCCTTCTATGATTGCAAGCACAAGTTTCTTAAACTTCAGTTGCCTTTGAGCTCTGTGGGAAAGCACTGTACCTGTGCTGTGGAGGATGGGATCATGGGTAGGGCTTGGTTTCTCACCCCAGCAATCAGATAGATGTGCTTAGCTGATAGCAGGCAAGGGCTAGCAGATCTATCAAACTGGTGGGTGGACAGCTGAATTCTCACTGGGCACCTAGGTCACTTGCTTAGAGATGCTAACATTTTAGTGGGGCCTTTCCCTGGGTATTGCAAATGGTACTTTGCTACTAACTAAAAGGTCAGTGGTTCAAATTTCCCCAAAGGCACCTCGAACAAAAGCCTGGTTATTTGTGAAAAGTCAGCCATTGAAAACCCTATGGAAGACTGGGGCTATATCCATTAATATATAGGTTTCACAGAGGAGGGTATTCTACATGTGTATTTACTTTTGCTGCAAATATATCCATGGATGTGATAGAGCACACAGGAGACAAAGTTGCGAAAATTTATACATGAACAACCCCTGGGGACTCAGTGCCATGGTCTGGGACGGGGGGACACCAATTGGAGTAACAGTCCATAAAGACAATGTTCTGCATTCTATTTTGGTGAACAGTGACCAGAGTCAGAAAAGCCTGTGAGCAACCATGTAAGGTGCAACTATGGGTCTCTCCCTGTCTGGAGGAAAGAAGAGTACTGAAAATCAAAGACACAGGAAAACAATTAGTTCAGCAGACCCTGCAAACATGTTTCCACACCCCTGAGATCAGAAGGATCTAGATGGTGCCTGGCTACCACTACCAACTGCTCTGAAATACATGAGAAGGTCCTGGATAGAAAGGAGAAAAATTGTGAACAAAACTGGAAAAAAAAAAGATCATGCTTACTGGTTGGATAGAGACTGGTAGAACCCTAGGACTGTGGCCCCTAGCCACCCTTCAGAGGTCTGGAACTGAACTCGACCCATAGCTCAATTTTCAGCCAAACTAGACAAGAGTAGGGTAAGCACTGGACTGTGAACCATAAGGTCGGCTGGCAGTTTGAGCCCACCAGCTACCCCATGGGAGAAAGATGAAGCTTTCTGTTCCCACAAATATTTACAAGCCGCCTCGGAAACCTATACAGGGTGATTATGCATCAGAACCTAGCCGACAGCACTTAAAAGCATTTATAAGGGGAATAGTTCAAAGGACTTTGCAGTCTGGCGCATTAATTCACAGTGCCACACCAGGACTTCTGCAAGGTCGGTGGTTCAAGCTCACCAGCTGCTCTTCAGAAACCCTATACAGGGTGGCTATTGGTCGGAACCAACTCGATAGCACTTAACAACAACAAGGGGAATAGTAACACTAGTGAAGTATGCACACCTTAGAATAACCAATCATTTGAGATCAAAAGGACAGCATTTACCCAAGGAACAAATTCAGAAGAAATAGGAAAGGAGGGGTGGTGTGGGCTAAATGGAATTACACTGTGGGGACTGCAATGAAACAAAATGTAGGGATTGTTGAATGGAAGACTGATTTGCTTTTGTAAACTTTCACCCAATTTGGAATAAAAAAAAATTTTTTTTTTTTTTAAAGAACTGCATGGTGCAGCAAAATTGTATTCTTACATATGGGGGTTTTTGGTTTTTATTATTTTCTTTTGAAAGAAATAATTAAAATTTAAGAGAAAGACATCATTCCTCTTCTATAAAAAATATCTCCCTCATGTCTGTACGAGTGTAAATAAAATGCATTTGACCATGGGGGAAGAGAACTAACATCATTGAACATCTGATGGGTTCAGTACTTTAAATGTCATATCACATTAAACCCTAATAATCCTACAGGGAAAGTGGTATCCCACTCCTATTATAAAGCCAACCAAACCCTGGTACCGATGACTCTAGTGACCCTACAGGACAGAGCAGAGCTGCTCCATAGGGTTTCCAATGCCATAAATCATGATGGAAGCACACTGCCCCATCTTCCTCCTGCAGACCAGCTAGTGGATTTGAACCACTGACCTTTTGTTAGCAACCAAGTGCTTTAACCACTGTGCCACCACACTCCTTTTATAATTGTTGTTAAAATACTGTCACGTCACTTTCAACTCACAGTGACCTTGTACAGGGTTTCTAAGGAGTGGCTGGTGAGTTTGAACCACCATCCTTGTAGTTTAAACCAACCTTACAGTCCAGTGCTTTATCCCATAGCACCTCACCTTTTATAATCTCCAAATATTAACTGGAGTCCTGGCATGGCACTGTATGATAAGCATTGAACTGCTGGCTTCTAGGTTTGTGATTCAAACCTACCAGCTGCTCCTCAGAAACCCAATACAGGGTGGCTATGAAGAAGTGCAGCCAGAGTGCTCCTTGGAGGCCAAGATGGCTAAGCTTCATCTCTCATACTTTGGACATATTGTCAAGAGGGAACAGTCGCTGTAGAAGGATGTCATGCTGGGTAAGATGGAGGATCAGAGAAAAAGAGGAAGACTCCCAACGACATGGATCAGCCAGGTGGCATCATTGATGGCGTGGCAGCGGTAGTGAGGTTGGCCCAGGATCGGACATTGTTTCGTTCTGCTGTGCATGGGGTCGCTATGAGTTGGTTCCAACTCGATGGCACCTGACAACAACAACAACATGAGTTGGAATTGACTTTGTTGTTGTTGTTATGTGCCCTGGAGTTGGTTCCAACTCATAGTGAGCCTGTACAGGGTTTCCAAGGCTGTAAATCTTTATGGGAGCAGAAAGCCTCATCTTTCTCCCATGAACAGCTGGTAGTTTCCAACCGCTGACCTCAAGGTTCACAGCCTGATTTGTAACCACTATGCTACCAGAGCTCCTAGGCACTTAACAATTAGCTTAGACTCTTTCAGTGTTTCTCCAACTCCATGGGCGTGCCAGTCAAATGTGGATCGTGTGAAAACACAGATTCAGACTTGGGAAACCTGGCATGATTCTGAGATACTTTTTTTTTTATGAATTGAGTGAAGGTTTACAGAGCAGGTCATCCATTTTACATTCAACAAATCATACCATTTCATTTCATTTCATTTCAATGATTTCATCCCCTCCAGGTACCATCAGCTAACAATATTTAGTTTTCCCCTTAACTCCTGTGTCCTTCCCTACTTTATCTTTCTTCTGCCCACCTCCCTCTTGTTGTATATTGCCTTCTCTGTCACCCAAGTTAGCATGTGTTTAACAGATTCTGCATTTATAACTAGGAGCCCTGGTGGCATTGTGGGTCAGGCTTGGGCTACTAACCACAAAATCAACAGTTCAAACCCACCAGTTAGTTACTCTGCAAGAGAAAGATGAGGTGGTCTGCTCCCATGAAAATGTACAGTCTCAGAAACCCTCTATAGGGTTGTTTTGAGTCAGATTTAACTCTATGGCAGTACGTTGTGAGCTCCCAGGTGATACGGATGCTGTTGGTCGAGGGTCCACACTTTGAGTGGCAAAGTAAGATGCAGAGCTGAGATTCAGATGTCTGTCTGACCACAGTCTCTGCTAAGCCTCATCAGTCTCCCATGGCACTACTGGTGGGCTCGAACCACTGACCTGTGGTTCACAGTCCAGTGCTTATACTTACGGAGTCCTTATTCAATCAAACAAATACATTCAGAGAGGGAAAAACGCTGTAATTTAAAGCATAGGGAAAGTGTGCCTGGCACTCCATTCCTATGTCTCAATGAGCATAAGATGAAAGAAACAAACATGCTAATTAGTACATTTATACATTGTTGCCGTACCCTTGTATAGATGAGATGCTTGCTATGTGGCGATTTAAGGGGTTTTCAAGTACAGCTGTGCACATGTGATTTCCTTTTTTACACCTCAGTTATAGAAACTACCTCCTACGGAAGCCCCATTAAATAGCTAAAACATAACTATGGAAGTTGGAGTCTCAGCTGAGATTTGAGACAATGCCATGATTCGTGGGCTTCTGGTGGTCTATTGGAGCCCTGGTAATGCTGTAGGTTAAGCATTGGGCTGCTAACCACAAAGATGGCAGTTCAAACCCACCAGTCACTCCATGGGAGAAAGATGAGGCTGTCTGCTCCCATAAAGGTTAATGTCTCGGCAAAAGTCAAGAATGAAAAAAAGAAAAAAGAGCACATGGGGTCTCTTTGGTGGTTTAAATGATCATGTATTCCTGAGTGTTAATGTGTAGACTTCCCTCTCCACCCCCCCACACACACACACACAAAAAAAAAAACACACAAAACAAAAACAGAAAATAGAAGCAAATACTGTTGAATGATGATGCATGGAGGAGATTGCAATCATTGCAATAAAACGATGGTGTAAAGCCCATCTTCTCCCATGTAGACTATCACTCAGTTCACAATAAAAACTTTGAAAGAAAGGTTAATGTCTCAGAAATTCCATTTCCAAGTCACTTTGAATTGCAATCAACTCTATGGAAGTGGGCTGGGTGGCATACTGTGTGTAAACTTGTATGTAAAGAGAAATGGTCTCTTACCATTTCTTCTCCATGTCCCACTGTGTATCATGTGTATCATGCACAGCGAATGATACCTGTGTAGTGGCTACTTAAGAATTTAGTGTAATACTTTGTTGTCAAAGCTACTTCATGGCAGCCCCAACGAGATATTGTCTGGTCCTGTTCTGTCTTCATAATCAAGTGTGCTCAAGTCCATTGCTGCCGCCACTGGAGATTTGGGGTGTCTTCCAACCTTCCAGCACGATATCAGACAGTGTTCGGTTGTGACCCATTGGGTGGTTTCTTTGTTTTTTTCCATTGGGTTTTTATTGGCTACTTTTTGAAAGTAGATCGACTGTAATGAAACCTGTTCACCTGCTGGTATTGGAAATACTGGCGACATAGTTTCCAGCATCACAGCAACACACAAGCTACCACTACAACAGACAGTGGGGTAGTGCCATGTGATACTTATTAGCCACTTAAGAAATGCACTTTTTTAGAACCAGAAGGCTCTGACTTAAGGCATTAAGTAAGCATCTCCCAGCAGGGTGAGGTAAGGTTGGCCTTTCACTCTTTCAGTCTACGGTCCAGTCCCTTGGGGACCAGAAGACAGGGGCATGACTTCACCTCTCAGCGAATTACATCATCGGAAAGTGACTTCGTTCCTTGGGAGATCTGAGTGTCCTCAACTAAAACATTCCAGTGAGACCAAGAGTGTGGGCTTTGGAGTCAGAAGGCCTTGGGTTTCAGTCCCAGGTTGGATATTTATAGCTGGGTGCCCTGCAGTTGTATATCTTTTGTTTTTGTGTTGTTGTTAAATGTTGAGTCAGTTCTGACTCATAGTGTCTCTGTATAGCATTTCGAGAAGTGGCTGGTAGGCTTGGACTACTGACTTTGTGGTTAGCAGTCCAGTGTTTAATGTACAGAACCACACGAGGACTCCAGTTGTCTATCTGTTGTTGTTGTTAAGTGCCATCGAGTCGTTTCCAACCCATAGTGATCCTGTATAGGGTTTCCAAGGTGCAGTTGGTGAGTGTGAACCACCAACCTTTCAGTTCAAAGCGTCTTTGCAGTCCAACGCATTAACCCACAGCGCCACACCAGGACTCCAGTTATCTGTCTGGTGGTGGTGTTGTTAAGTGCCATAGAGTCAGGTTTTGATCCATAGCAACCCTGTATAGGGTTTCTGAGAAGCAGCTGGTGAGCTTGAACCACTGGCCTTGCGGTTCAAATGGACTTTGCAGGCTAGCGCGTTAACCAATAACGCCACACCAGGACTCCCTATCTAGTAGTGGTGGTTGTTAGGTGCCATGGAGTGGGTTCCGACTCACAGCGACCCTATATAGGGTTTCTGAGGCTCTAAATCTTTGCGGGAGTAGAAAGCCTCATCTTTCTCCCACGGAACAGCTGGTAGTTTCAAACTTCTGACCATGAGATTAGCAGCCCAATTTGTAACCACTATGCTACCAGAGCTCCTTGTTGTCCATCTAGGGCAGGGCAGTTGGGAAGCTTTGGTGACATACTGTGTGTAAACTTGTATGTAAAGAGAAAATTGGAGCATGAAAGTATAAGAAGGTATCTTCTTATTTTTATTGTTCTTTAAGATTGAGTGGACTCTTGAAAATCCTAATTCACAAATGACATTTATCTCTGAAGTCAGAATGAATAATCAGATAAAAACCAAAATCCAAACCCACTGCCATCAACTAAATGACTTTTACACCCTTTCTTTATTTAAAAAAAGAACCTAAAGTGTTTTAAGGTGTGATAATTGATATTTTATGCATCTGTGAACTCAAACAGGGTCTAGGGCATCATTAATTTTAGGTCATGTTCAATGAGCAAAAATTAGAAGGACTTACAGAGCATCGTACTGACCTAAACCTCTCCTTTGACTGATGAGAAATAAAGTTCTGCTGAAGGATCATGAGGATGTATACCTAAGTGAGGTTCAGCCCCTGGCAATATTAGCTATAATAATAATAAACATATATGAGACACCACACTAAGTATTTTCCATACATGAGCTAATTTTATTACCATTTTCAGAAAACTGTGAGATGGACATATTAGAGGCCTCATCTTATAGATGAAGAAAATGAGGCTTGGAGAGAGATGATATATTCGCTAGATGAACCAGGAATAATAGATGGGAACAGGACTTAAACCCAGGCAGTCTGACCCCAGAGCCTGTAATGGTATCCTTCCCACTGAACTGCCAGGGCCTCAACTACTCTTGGTTGCTAATTTCTTTTTGTGCTTCATGTTGAAGATAAAGTAAATATTTGTCAACTAAATGGTTTCTGGTTCTGAAAGTTTACCTGCCTATTAACACCCCCAAGGAACCCCGGTAGTGTAGTGGGTTACGAGTGGGGCTGCTAACCTCAAGGTCAGCAGTTTGAATCTACCAATTGTTCTGCTGGAGAAAGATGAGGCTTTCTACATCCATAAAGATTTACAGCCTCAGAAACCCTGTACAGAGTTGCTGTGAGGTGGAACCAACTCGGTGATGCCACACCATACCACCACCACCACCAGACTACCCCAGGACACATTTTGGAAAGTACTGACCATTCAAAGTGTTCTTGTGGTGCACATCAAGGAGGTGAAAATAATCCATCAAGGCCTTGACATTTCTCACAGATAATAAGCAGTATATTTTGTCCAGATAGAGGTACCACAGAAACGATCCTTGCTTCACTTTCATTTTGATACTCTTCTAAGTCAAAGGCTCTTAAACAAGAGTCTATTATTCATGGAATAGAACAGAGAACTCTGCCTCAGAACTAGAATCTTAGATAAAAGATTGAATACCTGAGTAGCTTTGGTAGTGAAGGTCTTTTAAATTTTTTTTTCCATAAAAAAATAAATAAAACAAAAAGAGGAAACAACCAATAAAAAATTTAAATTGCTTCTTCCCAACTCTTTGTCTTGCTATAATTATTTATTGTTTTCAGTCTTGTTAATTTGGCTATTCCTCTGTCACTCAAATATATCCTGCTCTAAACTGAATACAGGTTGCTTAGAAACTTGTAACAAGAGCGTGGACTACAAAGAAAAATCTGAGCTCTGGCCATAGTGGCTCAGAGAGGAGCATATATAGCCTAAGAGCATTTATTAGAAAATAAGAAATTGAAAAATACATGAAAGATACAAAAAAAACCCTAGGGAAACTATAATAAAATAAAACTAAAGAAGGACTTTTTCTAAAAGACCAAAGCACAAATCAGTGAACCAAAAACCAGCAGTAAACATCCTCAGTATAAGCAAGGTGTTTTCTTTTAATTTTTCATAATGGAAAATTCAAACATAGCCCAAAATAGAGTTTCACACAGTCTCCATCCAGTTTTGACAATTAATCAACTCAAAGCCTATCAATTTTGTTT